GCAATAGTTTATGAGACCATGAGAGATGGGGAACATATCACACGAGTGAGTGAGGGTGTGAGAGTGACCAAAAGCTACAACAGCCAAAAAGAATAAGCAGACTCTTTTCTTCGGGGGTCCAAAAGTCACCTTCATAGAAAGAATGGAACCGCCAAAATCAAACATCAGAATTCAGAAAATCAGAAATGAGATTATCGTTTCGGTCCACATGTTGTTTATTTCCCGAGTGCCTTATCGCTCTCAGACCCTTTCTTTTCTTTTCAATCTCTGAGTCAACCAGAAACTACCGCGTATTACAGCAAGGCACAGGCCAGCCGCCCAAACTTATCATGATTCCTGGACTGCCAAAATTTACTTCTCTCCAAACATTCATAAAAAAAAAGAAAGAAAGAAAAGTAATTAGAGCATTAATATATTCTTCATATCTGTTCTTGTCTCAACTCTTCATCTCTAAATTTTGTGCATCTTCAATCCTAGTTTTAGACGTTGGCACGAGATGAGAAAGATTTGAAGTAATAATTGAAAGAATTTTATATGTGTTTGAAATATATATATTCTCAAGATAATTACGATAATGTGTATGATGCTATTAGCATCCCGTGTCTGTTTATAGGAGTTGGGGTACTGATTAACTTTGATCATGGGAAAATTGTATCATGTAGTTTTTATAGGATATGCACCGGTCGATGTTCAGGCCTCAACCCGTCTACATTCTTGATAAAATAAAAAAAAAAAAATCATGAAATCACAAAACGTTCACAAAAAGCATAATTTCGATCTGGAGAGGAAAATTGCAGAGGATGATATATGACACATATTCTACTTTTATTAAATAATCATGCAAATGTGTTTTATTTTCATGAGAACAATAGTGAATTTAAAAATCTTGAGGAAGTCCACCTCCCACATTGCCTCCACCATTCTATACGATCGACGTGTTGCCTTTACATTTATGCTGTTTCTATTGCAATTTTAAACTCTTAAATTTTCTTGAGCTATATGTACGTATACGGATAATTTCATCTTGAATCCTTGCCACGTCTATTGGTGTACGTACTGAAGAATCAACAATGATAACGCTAGCTAACCGTCAAGTAGATCATCCAAAATTTTCTAGCAATATAAAAGTTTCCACTATGAGCCAGATCCAATATGCATATTAGCAAATATATACCTGAGCAATTAGGACATAATTAAGGGTTCTCTTAAACTAATTATTTCTACTATTAATTACTACTGTAACTGATCAAAATTTTTAAGTAGTTTTAATAAATAAAAAAAAAAGCCTTGGTTTGAAGCCTTTTTATTATACTATAAAACTACTTGACGTGATTGAATCTTGAAGTGAATGTCAAGTGGACCAGCACAAATATCAGTTTACTAAGACAAAAGTCAATAATTTCTAACCATCTATGTTTAGTCAATCGAAATGATTTTAGAGTTTGACTTGAGGAGAGGTGACCACTGCAACTTAGATGGTGCAGAGATAAGTTTGTCTACTGTCTTCTAGTGTATCCGGACTTGATATTACGTACACAAGCTTTAGCAAACTTGTTTCCTTCCGCCTTGAAAGCTTTTTCCTACTTTGTGGGGCTCCATCTTCGACGCTAATGTAGCAAGCAAAATTCACTGGATTATTAGGAAATAGTTGCAAGTAGTATCATCCATTTATTTTTGATGATGATCAGGGATATTCTTCAAACCCCCCTTTTTCTTTTTTTTAATCTTTCTTTTTGTCGTAGTTGCAAGATCAATAAATGTACATAAAAGTCAAGTTCATACGTGAATATTGTATGAACTGAATTTGAGCTAGCTGGTTTATATGGAATTGTTTCATCGAATTCCGGAAGGTAGCATCTACCAAATGTTTAGTACTTGACAACGATAGGCAAACTTATCAGCAAAATTCTCCAGTTTAGTTCTTTTAACAGTCATATTTCCTCTATTTTAGAGAGAGTCCTCAAGCCAAATTAATGCTGGGTGCATGTGCCTTTTCCCCCGGCCCTTAGAAACTGTTAGTATTATTTTCAAATGTAAGCATTAATTAAACAAGTTTTTCTCATATATTTTTTGACGGTTCACCAATGGAAGCTCTTTTGTGAAGTGCACAAACTATATTGCTGCATGACATGCTTTCAGTTTCAGCCGCATCATGATGATTCATTCTGAACCATTACCACTAAGAGAATAATGTATCTTTCCAAACTAAGTACATTAAGTTTTTACCACCAAACTGCGTAACAAAGAAAATTTCCTTTTTTGAGGTAAGGAGGTCAAGAAGAAAGTTTTTGCAAATAGTGCATCTGTTGGATCATTCCCTAAGATCTGGTGAAAACATTCGCCATGTGACTGAGCAGAGCAGCATCTGGTTCGAAGCGTTCGAACCATCTTCTTCCTCTTGACCCCTTGACCTTCCCCTTCCCCTTGTATCAAATATATGTATAAGATCCCATAAACCACAAACGAGGATAATAATAGACTAAAAGTCCTTTACAAAAACAGGCCTAGCAACTAGTAGAGCTCTAATTCTAGCTCTTGAGCACCACAGCAGTAGAAAGAAACAAGTAGGCTAGCTAAACTAGAGAACTTTTGTTTGGATAGGTGGTTACTTGAAATAATTACTGTAACACTTTTTATGTTGTGATGTATATGAGATAAAAAGGTGGTTGAAAATCGTGTGTATGATACAAGCAAAACAAAATTTGAGATTTTTATTTGAAAGTCTTGCAATCCAAACAGAGTTTTGCAAACTCGGAAGATCATCAGTGACACATTTGCAAACTAATTAATAGAGTTGTGACATTTAGATATATAATATACGTACATGACTTGAATTTGATTTCAACGAATACGCAAAATTGCTTTTTTAACTTGTGGCATACTTTTTACGTGGAGTTCGTCTTTTCCTGCTGCACGCATGCTCCAAAGGCGTCCTGATTCTTCTGAATATCTATTTCTTTTAAAAGACGCCAGCCGCTACAGCTGGGTAGAAAATTGGAATGGTGCTTAGGTAGTAGCATGAGCTTTAACTTTAGGTGCCAAGTTTCCTTTTCTTATATGACTTTGTATCTTCTGGTTGACTTTAGTTGAAGTTGCTGAGATAAGAGTTGAAATTGGGATACACGAAGAGCATATTGTAGTATGGGGATGGAGATTGAGGGTTGACTAATATTATAGAAACAATTTGACTAGTGGGCACGTGTCTTGTCACCTACTTAGAGTTCTCCCCAGGTGGGTTTGACATGGCTGATTGACCATGCTTCATAGTAAATGATAAAACTCGCGTCTGCTCGTACTCGGGCCCTCCTCCGCTCGTCATCGCCACTCGAGCTGAAAATTAATGCTGTAAAACTTGACCACCACCACAACTTTTGGTTTCTTTTTTGTAGGGTTTTATCTCTTTTTGCCCCCTTTTTTTTTAGGGTTTTTTTCGTCATCAGCACAACATGATGGCGGTGGCGAATTTGCATTGAATAAAATTGTGAAACTTTTGCACTAGCAAAGTCTGATGCATTCACACACAACCACCAACCCCCATGCGTCCCCCCCCCCCCCCCGCCACACAACCCAAAAAAAATCCTCTCCCCTCCCAATTAAAAAAAGAAAAAAAAAGAGACCCAAAAACGAAAAAGTCTAACTGAGCTCAACCAGGGTTATATTTGGTTATGTTTGTCATAACAATTGATCGAAAGAGAGATGATACTGGATATGTGACACTGACACAAGTTTCTCAGCTGTAGAAAACAAAAAATAGTGGCCTTATTTTCTTGAATCATTAGAGTGGCGGTGAAGTCTTTTTATTTTTAATTACTTTTTTTTTTTGGTGTGCAAGTTTATTCATCGACAAAATGAAAGTTTGCGTTTTTTTTTTAAATGTTTTTTGGCCAGATGGAGGCTATGAAACCAAAACTACAAAGAAATAACAAGACGATGAATCAATCCCATATAAAACTGAGAACAATAAAGCTGAAAATTCTTTGGGAGAATCCGTTAATAGTTTGAGCTCGAGTGGCATGCTCAAACTCATCTTGGCTGGAACATCTGTACAAGAATTCCTTTCTGTCCAAAAGTGATTTGATTTAATCTTCAGTCCCAGTTACAACAGATTTGTGTCTGTTTACGACAATAGACTTCGTGTCTACGTGATATCAGACGGAATCATGTACAATTTGCATTATACATACGCAAAGCTATCGTTTCGATTGAAAAAAAAAAAAAAATCAAGAATTACGCCGGCGATATTTGTGCTTTCGGCTATTGATGATAAAGATGTGAAATTATTGCTACATGTTTTATGGGCCTATTCTTGGTTTGCCCCACTTCACATCATCATGAAGGTTCTTTTTCTGTAGGCCTTACATTTCAAGTTGACTCACCTCTTCCCGCTACATTGCAAAATCATGCAAACATGTGTCCATGGAAGGCCCATGGACTTTTCCAAGCAAGTGTTGGGTAAAATACCAGACCGGATGAAAATGACGCCGGCGATATTTCGGCTTTCGGCGATTGATGATGAAGATGTGAAATTATTGCTACGTGTTTTATGGGCCTATTCTTGGATTGCCCCTCTTCACATCATCATGTAGGTTCTTTTTCTCTAGGCCTTACATTTCAAGCTGACTTTCCTCTTCCCGCTACATTGCAAACTGATGCATGCAAACATGTGTCCATGCAATTCGTATTTTGGGCCATCCACTTTCCAAGCGATGGGCTGGGTAAAAGAGAATCAATTCTAGCAAAATTCCATATGTCGTGTGACTGATTCCCTCCAAGGCCAAGGCCACACCCTAAGATTACGACAACATTATAAGAAAATGATGGTCTTATCTGAGCCCACACGTGGCATCTCAAAAAGATTGTTCTCGGTATCTACCGGTTTGGATTGGTAAAAGCCAGTAGTGAATTCCCACAGCAAGCCCAATCCCTTTTGATCGTATGTGATGTGCTTTTGGTGAAGCCCAAAAGTGTCGAATACATTTTTAAGAGGGCCTATTTGCGAAGAGGCCCGTTCATAGCTGTCGTCCGGATGGAATTCAGGGTAATTCCGGTCATCTACTACCGACAGTCCGTTTGTGAGGTTGGAGGTGGAGTCATCATCTTTCAGGCGCTCATGGATTCCTTATTGAGCGCATATTCCACAACTTCAGACGACGAAGATGAGAGTATGGCGCGAGCCAGGCCCGAATTCCCTGCAGCTAAACGGGCAAAACCCGATTCTCCTAACCCAAAACCCATTACCACTCCATCATACCGCCAAAGCCTCAGCTCGAATCTCCCAACAGAAGCAGAAGCTCCCATTCCCGGCAGATACATATCAAAGCGAGAGCGAGCGGCCTTGGCATCAGGCGGCTTGGTTTCTGACCCGAGCCCGCCTAGTCTTCCCCTAATATCACCGGGTCCTCTACTTCCCTTGCCCTTCTACACTCGTGTCTGCTTTCGATTTTGCCTGCTATTCGTGTATGTTTTCTATTTGTGAATGGGTTCTGGGCATCCTGAATTCTTTGGATGTTATTCGAAGTTATTGACAATTTTAAGTTTTTTTGTTAAAGGAAGTTTTTGTTAGACTTGACGGTCATTTTTGTATTCAGAATTGGCCCATCCAAAGATGGCCGACTAGGAAAGGAAATTTGTCATTACAGGACAGTAGCTTAGCCTTTTTAGTTGTTCAATTTCGATCTATTCATGTTTATAATTGATCTTCCCTTTGGGTAAGTTGGGATAATATGAAGTTGTACTCCTATAAGAAAGTGAAAATGCTAAGGATTGAAATTTCACCAAACTTAAGTTAAATTAAGGTATAAAGAAATGAACTTTGAAGTTCAATTATCTAAGAACTGACTAAAGCCACCGTGTTGTATTAGACCACCAGGATAAAAGTTCAGTTATTGTCACTTCACTACTTTTTTGTAACATTTTTTTTTATATAGTTCGATAGCTTACTATTAGTTGTTGTGCCTATATAATACATCAAGACGGGACTCAACAGGAAAGATTGGAGGTCTAGAATGTGCACAGAGTTAAAAGAAATTAATTGTAGTAGAATATGGGCATAATGGAGCCGTACCTTGTGGACAGATTAGATTGATTCAGGTAAAGCATTTATCTATAAAGTTGAAATATCCATCATGATAAACATTGCAACTAATTTTTGTTTGGCTCTGGGAACAATGCAAAGATATTTTCTTATCCTTTATCTTAGCAAGAGAGTTGGAGGGGGATGGCAAGACCAAGGATATAAGAATTTAGGAACCCTTTTTGCTTTCTGAGTTGCAAGTTTTGGGTTTTGGACGAGTATGCAGAAAATGTTTTAGGGGGGTTTGAGTCCCATGGCCTGGCTTCTATGGGTTGCAATTTCCATTGATGTGAGTGCTCTTTTGCCACAATTCTATTACTTAAACATCTACATTACTGACTCAGTTTGTTTTGTTGTTTCAGAACTGGGAACGCTTTCAGTATCTGAGTTGCCACATTCTGTGTTGTCAAAATTGAGGCATCCAATGAAGGGTCGTGCAAACTTGGGCCAGACACCTGAAGCTGTTACCATAACTCTTCATGGACACACAAAGCCTGTCAACACTGTACAATGGTCTAGAAGTCATGGTGGGTACTTCATGTAGCCAATTTCTTAATAAAGACGTGGTCCTATCTTCCTCATCCTCGCTACACCCAGCATAATATAAAGAGAATATATCCAAAGCGCTTTTTACTTGCTACCTCAATTGTTTCTTTCTTCATGATTGTTTCAGTATTAGTATGTTCTACTTGTGTGTTAAATATGTGTTGATATTCATGGTCTTTTCTAGTGATGGTCTGATTTTGATTTCTGTTGCAAATTTTCAATATTTTTCATTGGAAATCTGATTGTAGGGTAGGATAGACTAGCAAAAAAAGCCTTGATTGCTTGTGCTACACGTCCTTTATTTGGGCCTAGCGGGCATATGAGGTAAGATTAGAAATTCATGTCCTTTGTGTTGGACACTCCATTAGACTCGATACTTTTCAGGCTTTGGGCAGATGATAGATAAAGAAAAAGGAGAATGTTAGGTAAGGCTAAGTACAAGATATTTGTGTGTTAGATTGGTTGTTAACTTAATGAAAATATAAGGTAGTACCAAAACCAAAATGCATAATCAAGCATTCAAAAAAAGTTGCAATCTTTGCTCTTATGCTCATTCACTCATCGTGTAATGCTAATGTTGAGTTTTCTTACTTAAGGAATGCAGCATTAAGAAGTTCTGAAACTGAGGTCATTATGTAAATTGTCCATTCCATACCATCCTTGCATGTCTGATCTGTTCCAAAGTTTAGTGTTCAGCTCATCTTCTTGCATCTGCCGGAATGGATCACACTATCTGCATATGGAATGTGTGGAGTGGAGAGCAGAAGAGGGCACGTATACTTAACTTTCACAAGGCTGCTGTGAAGGATGTGAAGTGGTCAGAGCAGGGACTATATGTACTATCTTGTGGATATGACTGTTCATCAAGGTTAATTGATGTTGAAAGGGGAAGAGAGGCTCAGGTTTTCAAGGAGGATCAGGTGGTTGGAGTAGTAAAGTTTCATCCAGATAACTCCAACATTTTCCTCTCAGGGGGTTCAAAAGGCCTTCTTAAATTATGGGATGTTAGAATGGGTAGGGTGGTCCATGAATATACCCGAAGTCTTGGTCCGGTCCTTGATGTGGAGTTTTCTGCTGATGGCAAGCAACTGATTTCTTCAAGTGATGAGTCAAGAAGCAATCTCAGTGAAAATTCAATAATTGTTTGGGATGTTTCACGACAGGTTCCGTTATCTAATCAGGTAAAATTCTACACAGTCCTCTCTGACTTTCTTAGGGATTTCTATAATTTCTGATAATGGCTTTGGGGATATTTTTCGTGAAATGAGTCATGAATTGACATTTGTTTTATAATGATGCTAGGATTTTGTATTTTACATTTTTTTGGGGTGCTATGGAGGGCCTAAGGCCCGTTACGTGCTAGGATTTTTATTTTATTTTTTTTGGTATTTTACTTTATTTTCCTGACTGACCTTGTTAAGATTAAATCACATATTAGTAATGTGGATCCTCTGTATCTGTTTGATGCAATATTAGAAATGGTTCTTGGCGAAGATCGGTGGAAAGTGAGAAAGACAACAATAATATGCTGTTTAACTACTTCAAAGTTTTCTTTCATTGACACCCACATATTTACCCTCTTCAGGTTTATGTTGAGGCATATACCTGTCCATGTATCAGGTACCACCCCAAGGATCCATATTTTATTGCCCAATCAAATGGAAACTACATTGCAATTTTCTCTTCCAAGTCCCCCTTCAAATTAGATAAGTACAGGAGATACGAAAGTCACGGAGTTTTTGGGTTTCCGATCAAATGCAATTTTAGCTTAGGAGGAGACATGGTAGCCTCTGGCTCCTCTGATGGTTGTATCTACTTTTACGACTCAACAACATCTGGACTCGTTAGAAAGATCAAGGCTCACGAGCAAGCCTGCATAGATGTTTCTTTTCATCCTGCCATACCTACAGTTGTTGCTACCTGTAGTTGGAATGGAGAAATTTGCATATTTGATTGAGCTGCTGCTAACCAAGCATGACATTCAGATTAGATGCAGTTTTGAACACCTGCATCAACTTACTTCAATGGGATGACACAGCCACTGTTTTGGCATAAAAAATTACTCCAAATAATTTCTTAAGCTAGGTTTGGCATGAAAATTTGGTTAGGCAGATGATTGGAGTTCAGCATTATGTATAGATTTTGGGGTACATTTTTGTGCTCTCACGAGTCGCTCCCTCTTTCTTCTTGTTTCTTCTCTTGTTTGTAGTTTTTCTTGGTGAAAAGAAAACCTTTGTGCTTCATGTGCTTCGACTCTTGATGTACTTGGCCCCTCAAAATGTACTTAAAATTCTTAAAATCTGAGAGATCTTAATGCGGTTTGTAGACTTGAGTTCAATTGTTCGTGTTCTCGCTTGGTAACAAAGCCATGGGGAGTCCGTTATAGAGAGCCGGCATAATATGAAATGCTACGTACAGATGTCAAGAACTGCTCTGTTGAAGATACTGATTGGACTTGGCATGGTGCATTAACCATCCAGTGGAGGGTTTAGTGATGCTTAGGCATACATCTTATTCCATGCCAAGCTAAACATGCATCCGATTGATGCAAACAATCCTATTGAGATTTGCCTCGACTACAAGGCTGCTGGAGTTGTAGATTCTTGGTCATCACGGGACACTTTGTGTAAGTGAACATAGTGGATCTCAAATCAAAATCTGCACCGGCAGCACAAATTTTAATGATGACTTTCTTGAATGGTCAACGGTGAATAGTGTCATCACCAGAAAGGAGCATTATCAAATTATAGGAGCTAGACATGAATGATCAAACTCTACGTTCGGGTCATTGGTAAATCCTACATTTTGTAGATTCACTCTCCTTGTAATATAATCATAGCCCTATAGGGACCTATATAATTTTCGTTTGACAAGGAGTCCAGAGAAAAAGAGAAGCTTGATGTTTCCAATTATACGAAAAGAGGTTGAGATATTTGAGACATTAATGTGGGCTTTAGCCTAGCTGCTGGTTAGTGACTGGGCTAATTGGTCCCATATGATTCTGAAATCTGCAGCTTTGAAACAAGAAATACTTTATTTCCACTTCTAAGGACGTTTGATGGTGAGGATTGAACTGCAAAAGACGATCAAAATTGCATTGAAATGGTAGGATTCGGCTCGTACTTGGCAGATAGAGATAGGCTATGCCGCATCTGCGTCTAGATACTCCTAACCCGCACCTAACATCATTGCAAATGTTTGAAGGAAGCTGGGTGTGGGGGCTAATGTTTTAGCAGAGCTGATGTTCATCCACATTTCTTTCATGAGAAATAGGCGAGAAGAGGGAGGGGGGCAAAAGGATGGTTGAGCAAGACAAAATTATGGGAACTCTCTTCCTATTGTTTATGGGGTTCATTTAGAGGGAGACATGACACACCACCTCCCTTTTTAGTTGTACCAGTAACTTGTAAGTGGGACCTTCTTTCAATCCAGGCTCCTATGTCTTCCTCTCAACACCGTCACACACGCGCACGCGCGCACACACACATATTAGACACTTATAGAACACATAATAGAGATCAAAAAAATATGTACACTGTTAGTGTAGAAAAGATTAATATATATATATATATTTCAAAGAAGTATTCAATGCACAAGGTAGAAGAGACACAGCAAAATTTCCCATACAGCAATGGCCCACAAACCCCTTCACAAATCTCCTCTTTTGGGCACCGTTGTTAATGGAAAAATAGGGTAACCTTTGATTCTTGAAAAAAGAACAAGAATTTACACAGTTCTGCTGCCTACATTTGCCTATGTTCACAACTTTTATTTTCAAGCTCTGCATGAATGTGTCCCCCACATTGCCTGGTTCAATGCTTCCCTTCAAATTTGTTGTACAAGTTCTTGAAGTGTCAAAAAGAAAAGGCAGGGAATTAATATTAAAAAAAAAAAACTCACTAACAAAAAAGGGGGTGGATTTTCCCCCTCCATATGACTCGAATCATATTGTAAAAGAGTGATACTTTTTAAAAGAGTACTTTGGTGGTCAAGCGGGCGTCGGTCCCGCAGGCTGCGCCAACAGGCGACATGAAACGATGGGCTAAAAGGTTTCATCTCTATGATCCAATCACTTGGAATGATCCCAAACTTCTGAGGTCCAAGTCAGTGGCTATATTTGTGTTTCGATTAGGGAACATAAAAGAAGATTATGGGCTATGAGGGAATCTAAAACTTGTAATTAAGGACGTAAGTTTTAGTGCTTTGGAATCACAAGGCACCAAATTTTTTTTATTTTTTTCTTCTCCTTCGTCTTTATTAATTCATACTTTTGATCCATCTTGTCGTGTTTTCCACTTAGGATTGATGTTAACCTTCTCCTACATAGTCGAATTTTACTTAGGAACGCTCTCAACACACAAAACATTATCTCCAATCTTCCAATCCTGACCTCCAAAAGTGAGCGACAAACTCATTTTATTTGGTACTTATCATGTGATTTGTAGCCGCGGCCTGGCTCGTGACCGTATGTCTGGCCGCCCTTTATTTGTTCCCCGGCGCCTGCCTGTGTGAAATTTAGTCTTATTACTTACACAGTCTGGCCAAGCCACTAATTATGCTTTTCTTTCCAATTTGGGAAGGAAGCATCCCTTCCTTTCTAAAGATGAATTTGTAATGTTGTAGGCCATCTGGCAATTAAGCTGGGGTTGCCATTTGCCACTTAAATATTAAGATATATATTTTGCTAATCCTAGCCTAGGGTGCTCCACGGAGCTAACCTTCATGATTACAGCCCCATGCCTCGCTCTTGCTATAGGATTTCGAGTGTTAATCATTTTGTAAAAGGCATCACCAAAATGTTTAAACGGTACCGTCCATTGATGGTTAGATTTCTATAATTAATTATCTGAAAATGAATTAATACTAAGTCAACTGAGGCAACTATTTGTAGTCTACAAGCCTTCTCTTCGTGCAACTGGTGACACTCTTTTGTTGTCAAATTAAGAATAACAGCATATATATATATATATATATATATATATATATATATATATATATATATATATATATATATATATATATATGTGCGCGCGCGCTCTCTGAATTAGACTTTCATTGATACCACCTATACGCACTTTCTTTCTCTCCCTCAGTTGACCTTTAGAAAGACCTAAAGGGCAAGTCAGAAGTATGAATTTGTTTATCTTATTTCAGAAAAAAAAAAAAAACCCATTCTTGCTGGATCATCTTTTTCTTCTGATATGATATATGGTCGATCCAAATAAACCAAAGAATTAAGAATTTTCAGGTCGTCATTACTTTTAACCTTTTTGTACTCCGAAAGGCTTAACTGAAGAGCTTATTTCCCAAATCCGTTGTATTAATCTATTTAACTGTAAAGCTTTTTGTTGATTTCAGAAATTCAAATCACAAACTACGAAATGAATCCCATTTCACTCAGAGACAACAATGAATGTACAAGACTGGAATCTTGACAGTTCATTCAAAATCAAAAAAGTAAAGGGAAACTTTTGTTTTGTTTTGTTTTGTTTTGTCAGTACAGCAGACTTATTGAAGCATTGGCCGCAGAAAGGAAAAGAAAACAAAATTATTTCTGCAGTTGCAGATTTATTTAACAACAGGTGCGTGAATAGTGTCCGTAATGTTTTTTTCCTGGAGCACTTGACCGACAAGAGTGCAAAAACAGTGAGAGGATAAAGACCACCATCCAAACAATTCTACCCCAATCCATTTCATCCTCACCAACTAATGTGGAGAAAAAGATGGCCAAATAGACAAGAAAGATTCAAGGTTGAAACACCTATTCCTCATCTGGGGTAAAATCACCATCCATGAAAGTGAAATAAAGACCATAAAGCTGAATTAACGACAAGTCGTACAGGCACACAGGGAAAAATGAAAAGAAGAAGCCCGACTCATCGGCGACTTTTTTATCCTAGCTCACAAGACTTTTGCTCTAACTTGCAGATAAGGACTTCAATTTTGACACCAAACCCTTTTTCAAATGACTAGAGAAAAGCACAAAACGATGAATGTATATGAGTTGAGCAATGATCAAGACTTGAGTGCTTTTGATAATTTTGTGGGAGAGTGAATAAGAGGAAACACACACTAAAATTTAAATAAAAGCAATTTGACTTTGGATAGCAACAGTGTGTACTGCGATATCCAGTTGTTACGCGAAGTGGAGAACACGATCACACCAAATTATTTAACCTATCTATCAAGGGCTTTCCTTTCTTTCTTTCTTTTTTTCCCCTCTTTCTTTTATTACACATAGTTGGATTTTAGTGTGTCCATGCAAATGCAAGGACAACCATGTCCGGAACTCCGGATATTTGTACAACCACGTACAAAACCAAACGTCTCATAATAATAGCTTTCCATCTTAGTGCGTGAATTTGCACGCTATCATCACCGTGGCATATTCAAGCCATACAATGGTTTCATCAATCACTCAGGATTACTTTTTCTTTTCTTTTTTTTTTTGGTCTTCGTTATAGCGAAAAGATCTTTTAGAAAATGAAGGAAAATGAAGGCTCAGCCAAAATGACGAATGAAAATGTTGACCGTAGTCTAAGACTAATCTCTTCTAAAACCAAGACGAATAATGAATCCCAAAAAGAAGCGGCAATGGATATCGTTAATGACAATATTCACCCCTCAATATGTCGGTCGACTACTTGTAATCCTCATTCAGAAATTTGCTTGCCAATGCAACCAAGAATAAAGAAGAAAAAAATTTTTTTTGCCCAAAAGAAAAAGGGATATAAGATGCTGGGAAACAAAAGCCAACTGTATACTCCAGCCCTAGTCGGCAAAGTATGAAGGTCTTGTCTCAAATATTTGTCCAAATACCATGCATGATTAGAATTTTGTGTGACAACTCTGTATGAACGACCAACAAAAGTAATGTAGCCAGCCTCCTCAATTAGTGCATCATCCGGCAACTTTTACTTTTTAGGGCTAATCGGGCTTTGCATTGTGTGCAATAAAAGTTGCATGGTATGCAACTTTTACTTTTTAGTGCATCATCCGGTAAGTAATACACTATTTTGAGACATTGGATTGCAATGCACAGTGGTAGTATCCTAGTGTTTGCAACTTTTCTATTCTTTATTTTTTTTTTAGTCTTTCTTTTGGTGTACATTGCTGCCAAGCATTGATAACCTCAACCTCCTTGACCACAGTTTTTTTTTCTTTATCCTTTAACCATATGTTGCATAGCCCTCATGATTTTGCTATTGCATGGCTAGCCTTTTTTACCTGGTGAAGAACAAAAAGATTCGATCAATAATTCAACCGGGCTGGGATGCTGAATGACACATTGACAAGTCTAGACTCTAGCGCCCATCACATAACAAAGGGTGA